GGAACTTCCGCCGGCGATTGCGGCTGATTCCGGCGGGGTTGGAGGTCGTGCCGCATGTCGTTGAACTCAGCTCGTCGAGATCTTTCTATTGACACCGGCGGTGTCAAAAATGGAGGTCGGAATCTTAACTTGAGTATTTGGCCATTGATGGTTTGTGTGAGAGAGAATGTGAGAGGAGAGAGAGAATGAGCGAGAATAAGAGAAAGAAAGTGTAAGAACCCTAAAAATTTCACTATATAAAGTATCTGATTAAGGCAAGATTACGTGCCTGATCTTATCCTCAATTATTTCCTCTAAACAGATTAAATTTATACTGATTAGAGGTAATTAGTTTAGCTCACGTAAGTTAATCTACTACTTACAGTCCAATATCAATTTCTGAATAATTCAATATTGTTTTATATTCTTACTCGCGTAATATTTCAAACTGTTTCAAGTCTTAAAATTAATTTTAGACTGAACAAATTCTAAATTTTAATTTTCTGTATTCTATCCCGAGAATGACGTTTCTGACAGTGTCAACTCCCGAGCTCATATTGTATCCATCTACTATAGGTATTTATCTTGTGACTTTAACCTAACTGTTTGGCAATTAAGGATTTTTTTCTTCTTTTAAAATGTCAGTGCGTTTTTTTTATATGCCGCTAACATCGTGCTGTGCTTAGAGATTCTTGAAATTAAGATTCTCAAACTATACTTGTACTGAAAATTATTCCGCCTTAAAATACGGCGACAATTTATCGATCGAATTTACTTGATCGAAACATGAACTTAACATGAAATTTGCTATAGAATTTAGGAATACATATATTAATTCCATAAATCCTCCATTCACAATATAACATAATATTTTCTAAGAAAATCCTTAGCTTAAAAATACATGAATTGTATTATTTAAGGTCTGAAATTTTCTCAGTCATTACAGTTTACTTCCGAAAAGTTACCTGTAGCAGCTAGTATGCTATCCAAAACAACAAATGGTACTTCTATGCCTTTCTTTTCGTCTACTCTTAATTGGCCCGAATGCAAGAAATCTCTAATGTGCTTTTCACTATCATACAAGCCTACCGTTTTATTGCTTCTTCTGTTATCTAATTAAAGAGAAAATTTCAAGTCAAAAATCACGTGAAAAAACAAAAAATTATTTTCTTTTAATGTATATTTGTGGCCAGGGAAAATCTACAGAGTAACAATTACTACCTTTAGTGCCCCTCTTTTTTCTTCTCAAATAATAAACCGAACAAGCAGCGCAAGGGATGACCACGATGAGAATTGAGAGCATATAGAGTTTCTTATTTTGTGAAGATCGTTTTAGATGCGGAAACTCAGAAGCTGCCAATCGAAGATAGAGTGTGTGACCTCTGCTGTCATCTGCTCTGAGTTGCCTTTGATTTAAGAGATCTCCTGTCCAAGTTGAACAATTATTGCTTTCATAGGCATAGGCAGTGCACGAGCAGGTATTTAAGCAGCTTGCTTCGCAATCTTGTAAACTCGTCGCCTGCACGATTTGTTGATTATCGGGCAACGACATGTTGAATATGGATAGAAATTTCTCTCTCTCACCATTAACAATGGTGTTATTCCCACATTGCAGTCTAGTTCTTCTTAAGCACCCATCAGAATAATCATTCGAATCCCAATGACTTTGCACCTTAGGCTCAAAACCTGGCAAACAACTACAGAAGGGCAATCTCCATTCATCACAGCTAGCATAAGCCCCACAATAAGCATAAACATCACATTGTCGTCTAGGTTGAGACCATAACAAATTCCATCTATTACCAGCAGGCAGCCAAGTTAGTTGCCTAATCTGACCCGAAACATCCATCACATGCCGAGAAAAATTGGTAGCAGAGCTGTTTATAGCATAGGTGCAATAGATTTCATCGTCATTTGAAACAAAAACGAATTCATAGATATTATAGCTTGTCATCTCAGGCGCCAAACCAAAAGTCTCGCCATTCCAAGATCCACTTGTCCAATTTTTCGTAGACCTGTTCCAGAGTATGACATACGAGTTGTCTCTGGGGTCTAGCTTAAAAGAGAAGAGGCCTGGGGCAGGGTCCTCCGAATTCTTCCATGAAGTGAGAACTTGGCTTCTTTTGGTTATTTTGTTGTATCCAAGCTTAGCACCGGGTAGCCACGTATTAGTAGGATGATCAAAACTTTGCCACAAAGGTTCCGACAAGTTAGATCCATCGGTTAACACGAGGTTTCCGCTATCCAGAAGTACTGCCCGTACAGAATCAGAGCTAGTGGTTCTTACATTTGTGGACCATATTGGGATCTTTAAATCGTTGAAAAGAACTAAATTTCCATCAGAGATTCTTAACTCTGAACTGTAAGTAACCGGATTCTCCCTATGTGCTACCCAGACTATGTTTTTATGAGGATCTTTCAGGTACCATATACCGACATAGTAGTTTTCAGCCTCACCTGGTTTAAAGAATCCCAGTTGAAAGACACTGCCTGCTGAGATTATAGTTGAATAGCCATAGACAGATTCGTTTACAGAGATGGTATCAGCTCCCAGAGAGAAATAGGTCTTGAGAAACAAGCACAGGAAGAGGACACTAATCACGGATGCTGAGTTGGTCTTGACATCCATTGCTGCACAAAGTTTTGCACGCAAGCTTGAAAATTCAAGATACTGTAACTTGTACTTAATTACTTATTGGTTAGAAAGGGAAAAAAAAAATGCTTAATCCTCAGTTCACACCTTATTGCCTATTAATGCCTAAAGAAAATTTTAAGATCTGTTATTTCTAAGAAATTTTTAATTCTTATTGTAATGACTGAGAAAATCCCAGACCTTAAATAATATAATTTATGTATTTAAGCCAATGATT